TTTTTGAGATGGAGTCTTGCTCTGTCACCAGGCTGGAGTGCAGGGGCACAATCTCAGCTCACTGCAACCTCCACCTCTCAGGTTCAAGGGATCCTCCTGACTCAGCCTCCCTAGTAGCTGGGATTATAGGTGCTCACCACCACACCTGGCTAGTTTTTGTTTGTTTGTTTGTTTAACTTTAGTAGAGATGAGGTTTCACCATGTTGACCAGGATGGTCTTGATCTCCTGACCTTATGATTCACCCGCCACAGCTTCCCAAAGTACTGGGATTACAGGCATGAGCCACTGCACGTGGCCAGGAAGATTGTTTAAGGCGAGGAGTTTGAGGCTGCAGTGTACCGTGATTATGCCCGTGAAGAGCCTGGGCAATATAGCAAGACCACATCTCCTAGAAGTGCTGAAAATGCAAAACAGGTAATAGGAAAATTAAAATCATGAGTATATATATGCATGAGGCTATCTTATTGTTTTATTTTTTTATTTTTTTATTTATTTTTGTTTGTTTTCTTTAGTTTGTGCATTTTTTTATTTTTTAAAGATGGAGTCTTGCTACGTTGCCCAGGCTGGAATGCAGTGGTGCAATCTCGGCTCACTGCAACCTCCACCTGCCACGTTCAAGAAATTCTGCCACAGGCTCCCAAATAACTGGGATTGCAAATGCCCACCACCCCACCAGGTACAGGTCTTTTTAGTAGAGATGAGGTTTTACCATGTCAGGCCTATCTCAAACTCCTGATCTCATGTGATCCACCCACCTCAGCCTCCCAAATTGCTAGGATTACAGGCATGAGCCACCGCACCCGGCCAGAGCTCATTCCTTGTTACAGACGACCAGGACACCCCATGTTCTACTCACCCAGCAACTCCGCCTTTGCCATCTTAGACAATTCTGGGAGATTCAGCTCTTCAAAGACCTTCACAGTCGCATTCCTTATCCAGCATTCTGAGGATGTATTGACCAGAATTTCTGCCAGTTTCTTGCCATTAGCCTCTTCCACCTCAGACCATGGGGTCTTCTGTAGCACATCTTCTAGGGGAAAAGCCCATAAGATGGATTTGAAAGTCCCTAATTCACCCTCGCTCAGCTGCTCCAGAAGGGTTTGCAGAGTGTACTCCAGTTGCGATGATGTCATCGTGCTCCACGTGTGAGACCTTAGGTCAAGGCTGAAGAACTAGGGAAAAAAGGAACAGTTCACAAGTTACCATCATTAAATGAAAACATTTGCCTGTGTGCCATGCTGTACCCCGAGTGGTGAAATGTGAGGTAGACTGAATTAAGAGACAGAAAATCTGGCCCAGCATGGTGGCTCGCACCTGTAATCCCAGCACTTTGGGAGGCCGAGGTGAGCGGACCACCTGAGGTCGGGAGTTTGAGACCAGCCTGGCCAACATGGCAAAACCCTCTCTACTAAAAATACAAAATTAGCTGGGCATGGTGGCCCATGTCTGTAATCCCAGCTACTTGGGAGGCTGAGACAGGAGAATCGCTCCAACCCAGGAGGTGGAGGTTGCAGTGAGCCAAGATGGTGCCACTGTACTCCAGCCTGGGCAACAAGAGTGTAACTCCATCTCAAAAAAATTGTCAGGGCACAGTGGCCCACACCTGTAATCCCATCACTTGAGTCTGGGGAATTAGAGGCCAGCCTGAGCAACAAGGCAAAACCCTGTCCCAACTCCAGCTACTTGGGGGGCTGAGGCAGGAGGGTTTCTTGTGCCCAGAAAGTTGAGGCTGCAGTAAGGCAAGATCACACCACTGCATTCCAGCCTGAGTGACAAAGTGAGACTCTGCCTCAATAAAAATAAATACAAGAGGGAGGCAGGCTGGAAAATGAAAAAACAAAGCGACTTGCCAAGCCCAGGTGGTGGTAGAAGTGGACAGCTTTACCCTGAGGAAGGGCAGCTCCTCTCCTCAGCTTTGAGGGATAATTACATATACACAATGTAGCCGGGCGCGGTGGCTCACGCCTATAATCCCAGCACTTTGGGAGGCCGAGGCGGGTGGATCACGAGGTCAAGAGATCGAGACCTTCCTGGTCAACATGGCGAAACCCCGTCTCTACCAAAAATACAAAAGTTAGCTGGGCATGGTGGTGTGTGCCTGTAATCCCAGCTACTCAGGAGGCTGAGGCAGGAGAATTGCCTGAACCCAGGAGGCGGAGGTTGCGGTGAGCCGAGATC